ACCCCTCTTGACCTTTGACCTTTGACCTTTGACCCCCAGCTTCGACATCCCCACTCGTTTTCGGATTACCCCCCCACGTCCCGAATATCGTGACCGTACGTCGAGTGGTTAAGATTTGTGCCCAACTGTTGACGCCCGGACGGACGGACGGACGCACGGACGATCATGCGATTCTACAAGCTGCATCTGACTATGTCAGATGAGCTAATAATATATCTTTAAATAAACTAGCTTTGATTATATCGCAAATACTAAAAATAGCATGGCAGTAGTTAAACTATAGTTCTATTCATATAAGTTGAAAGTATATTTCTGTGAAAAAAATTTGTCGCAATTTATTTGCACATTTTTTTTGTAATCAATTGAAATTACTAAAATAAATACACCATGAGGTCAGTATTTACACTATGCAGACTAGTAAACACATGGATATAATATTTTGTATATAAGTTATCAGAAAGACTTGGTCACTATTTTGAAACTGTAAGTGATTTTGGACAAAGTCACGCATCTTTACACCCCAATAGGATTTTAGTAGGCACAATGACTCTTTACTACAGCGATACATAGCCGCCGACTTACAGAGCTAATCTGATTTTCGTAGGTACACACGGTCTGGTGGAAATAAGTCTAGAACAACCTGTGTAGAAATGTCAGTCAAATTATGGCAAAAAGAAAAGATCTATTAAAGTAAGAGGTCACACCAAACTTGGCATCGTTTGAGGTTTAGATGTGTAAAGCCATGATCTAGACTATCAAGTCAACTAGCAGTTGTACAAAACTTGGCACAAGTTTTATGGCTGACACAAAGTACTGTAAGACAGGTATCGTGTAATTTACCAGCTCAACAAAATCCCTATTGGATTATCCTTATGTGCTCTATACACTGCAATCCATTACTCTTTAAACCACCAGGAATTTAAAGTGGACTTGCATCAAATTAATAGGGTTTGAATATTAGACGTGTGAGACAAATATAATAAATTATTACATACATATAGTATTAGCAAGTCCTGAAGATAATAGACACAATTGGTTACATGATTTGTAAGTGTAGGATACAGCACTACAAAATTACTCTAAACTCAAGATGGTGCCAGACAAGAAATGAAACTGCTTGCACCTGCTTGGGTTTAAAACAAATTATGTAAAAAGATGATACCAGTGTTTGAAATTTTAGACCAAATTGGAATAATGGAGACAGATTGAGTTGTGTTGCCATGACAATAAACACAAACCTATAGGGCCACTGAATTTGCCAGACTTGTATTCGAATCACGCAAAACCCCCAAGCGAAAAACCCCAGCAGTGATCTAGTAACAGAGCTGGCATATATGCACTACATATCCTTGGAGCTGGTGAGGTGATAATACCCACATACCGATGATAACTTCAACAGCAGTTTATCCATGAAAGCTAGGCGTAGCTATTTACTAAACTCCCTGAGAAGTAGATCAGCTGCATTTCCAGGCGTGATGTCTCCACTCTCTACTTTCTGCTCCACCTCACTGATCCGTAGAGAAATCCTCGGGTGCCGTTTAAAAAGACCCAGTACCTGTTCAAATGTACATGAATTTAGAAGTGCTTTCTTCGTGTATGGATACGATTTAACATTTAATTTAGAATGAGATGTTAACATGTAACTTATATTCAATATCCATCAGGCTTTAAATTTGTGATGATTTTGAATAAAATGGAGCAGTAACATTATTTGTGTGCACCTGATCTCTTATTTGGTTCCACATCCAGATCTTGTGCTGGTTCTGCCTCCGGCGCAACAGCTCTCCACTCTCTGTCATCTTGTTTTTATAATCTTCTATCATTGTCCAAAGTTCTGGGATTCCCTCCTTTGTCACTGATGACACTCGTGTTACCTAAGCATCATAGAGTAGTGTACAATGCCTGTATGGTGGTGGGTCATGGCAAGTGTTTAATCCTGTCCAAAACATTGCATCTTTTTAACCTAAACAGTGAAGCCCCATGCAGTACACTATGAGATCTGTGAGCAAGATCACTATAAGTGAATAAGTTCATTGTGATGAAGTATACTGCCTCTTTTTCAGATGGTATATCTAACTTAGAAATATTTATTGCAAAGTCACAAAGTACCAAGTAATTTGTAATCAATCCAACAGATTGATCTGCTATCAACAGACTGAGTTTTGACAACGGGTCTAGCTGCTGTTTCTACACAGATGTTAGGAAAGTGTTTACTAGTGCTTTCACACAGAGAAGACAGTAATGATCCACGCACTACAGCTCACCTTCATTTTCCAATACTTGCTCTTTTGTCTCATGATCTTAGATGCACTGGTGTAGTCGGCTTGTATTGCTCTGGCAGCGGGAAGTAAAGATCCGTCTGCCTTCGTCACAGCAACAATGTCTGCCATCTCAATGATACCTCGCTTGATTCCCTACAAACAGAATACTGGGAAATGAGATTGTCATCTTGACAGTGTCAAATAAAATTTTCTTAAGAAACTTATAATTATTGGCCTTAAACCGAACAAAAATCTGGTCGCATACTCGCTGCTAGTAGTGAATTCGGCGTTACTGGGCTATATGTAAGATGTTAACATGGTCCGATAATAAATCCATTAAATTATTAAATAGATGATAAATAAAATTATAATTAAATAAATGAAAGATGTTAAGCCAAATATTGGCAATGTTGGAACAAAGCCGAGAACTATTGATTAACACTTTTATGTAATATGAAAGTCGATATGTAAGTAAATGTTGAGTCACCGGACTTGCCTGAAGTTCATCTCCCCCAGCAGGGGGCAGCAGCAGTACAAACATATCTGTCATGTAGGCGACAGCATATTCGGACTGCCCCACGCCAACCGTCTCGACCAGCACCAAATCGTAGCCGGCCGCTTCGCAGAGAAGTATGCGTCGTTCGTGTTGCGGGCCACACCTCCCAGCGTTCCGATGTGGGAGACGCCTGATGTAGGCTTGTGATCTACTGACAGTTTCGGCATCCTAGTCTTGTCCCCTAGCAAAGATCCTGTGAAACCAAAAAAACATTCAATCTACCTAGTCTGATGCTATAACTTATTACCCACACCACTGATGTATAAGCATTGGGAGAAGTCAGGTATTGCTAATCCTGCATGTAGCTACTTGTCTCGAAATTATTGGCAAGTTTGCACTCTTATATTATCTCTGCAATGTAGACTTGGTCCTTATGTTTAAGAACAAATTGATTTCATGGCGAATTTATTTAATCTATACGCAAATATTTCAATTACTGGTCTAGTTGTCTTTGGCAAAACTAAATGGAGCTGCTTGTGCTTGTCACCAGATGGCAGCAGATTCAACAAACTGCATGGGAATGCAATCAACTATTGTTGGGAGCTACAGAGGGCCTGGATGGTGGGTCCTGGACTATAGAGGGTTGCTGTAGACAGGAGACAGTATGCATGCCTCGCCCACACCTGTTCAAGGTGTCTGCCCGTTTGGAAATTTGAATGGACTCTCTTGTCCGTCTGTCCAGAACAGAACCTTCCAGCTATTGTCATTTGCTGCCAATTCGAGTTATGCTATGGCACCGTCATTTAGATTGGTATTGACAACTGGATCAGTTGTTGAATTGAAACCGTTACTAACAGTTTAAATATATTTATTGATAATCAAATTAACGTTCATTATGAAAGTCGATGAACTTCTACTAAAAAAGTCTGTGTGTTTGTTTGCAATTGATTAATATGTTACATATTATATTATACATACCACCACTAGTTGATGAAGATGGATCTACAGCAAGTACTGCAACCTTGTGACCGAGCCCAGTCACATATTTTCCTATTGCCTCAATGAAGGTTGATTTACCAGCACCAGGGGGACCTGAGAGCCCTGCAGGAAAGAACCAGCACATCAAATAACTATCCCTTGAGCTTGTGAACAGAATCCAAGTTGCCAAAATGTGCTTAAAACATGTTGTAATAATAGATCTTACATTAGCATGTGCAAAATGCATTCTGTATGGTATTAACAGTCACTAGCCAAAGAGAACGACTATAATTACGCAAGCTTATTATCTAACCCTTACCTGCTCTAAATGATAAAGTCTTTGGGCTTTCACCTTACACCTCTCCTTAGCGACTTTGAGAACATTACTCAAGAGGAGTTGACCCTCTGCTCTCTTCCTCGGGTGTACTGATTCAACAGCGTTATAGACTCAGCCAGAGCACTCCTGCCCCGGACATAACGCCCAGAAAACAGTCGTTCTACATTCTTTTTATTTGGAGCAACTTCTGAGTCATCCAAGGCGGGAGACTCATTGAAGACAGGGTAATGAGTTGGTGCCCGAGGTAGGACACCGCACGTGTAAAGTAATCGCCGGGTGCTGGCAACTCTCAATAGCTGGAGACGGCAAAGACAGCATCTGAGGCTCCCCATGTTCTTCTGTAAGTGTAATAAGGAGTAAGTAGCATTAGCCATATGATACGGCAGGCCATAGATATATAATTACAATGTAACACTGCAAACGGACATGATATGGCTTGGTTATATATAGACTTAGCTCTAGAACTATAGCCATTCGCTCTGCCACAGCACCACAGGCACTATAGTCCCTTAATTAGCCTTAGGCTTGGATTTTGAAGACTTAAGACCCCCGCGCACGGTGAGGTTCCTGCTCAGCACGGTCTCGCGAGGCGGTGATGAAAATATCTGTCGTGTTTGATAATTTGGGTCTCGCGAGGCTGAACTCACTATTAGCGCATTGCATAGTTAGTTATTCCGAAATGGCTGCGCATTTTGATTGGTTCAGCCATGCACCCACTCCAATGACCGCTTCGTGCCCCCGTGCACCAGACAGTAGTTGCGTTCACACGAGACTCCGTATTTTGAAATTTGGTATTTGACAGATACCGAATCTGAGACAAACCATGTTTAACCCTCCTCTTGAGGGTCAAAAGGTATCCGAACACTTACTCCTTTGCATGTCAGCGGAAAGTACATTTCATGGTACTTTCAATAAAGCCATAAAAATGGTAGGTCACGCTGAAACAAAAAAGTTTTCAATCGCTCTGTCAGACCATGTCCTCAGAAAATGTTAAAATCTGCCCTGTGCCCATTGACCCTTTGACCTGTAACCTCCAATTTCGGCACAGTGATGCTTTTCCTACCATGATTCTATACTACCGACTATGACGAGCCTAAGGTCGAGCCATTTAGATTTGTGCCGCAATTCTGCATTTCCTCCCTATACCTTAAGTTAAGGAGGGAACGTTCCCCTTCTTTACACCTCTTGACCTTTGACCCCAGCTTCGACATCCCAACTCGTTTTTCGGATATCCCCCCTACGTCCCTACTTCGAATCCGTACGTCGAGCCGTTTAGATTTGTGCCCAACTGTTGACGGCCGGACGCACGCTCATTGCGATTCTACAAGCTGCATCTGTCTATGTCAGATGAGCTAAAAACAATGCGTCCAAGCAAACAATCAAGCGAAACAATGCGAAATAAACAATCAGCGCACAGCAACGCCGATAAAATACATAAGACTGGTCAGGGCTCGACATACTCGACGTTACACGAGTGTAACTGTTTAGCGCGGATCAGATCTATAAAATATTCGGCTTCAGAAATTCGGTATTTAGCGTTCACACGAGGAAATACGGCGGTCCAAGAGATTCGAATTTCTCAAGCACGAGAAGTAATTCGGCATCTGGGAAACCGGCGTATTTAACACAAATACAGAATCTATTTAGATTCCGTATTTGTTGGACGCGCATTTTAGCCTCGTGTGAAACGCTAAATACCGAATTTGTTGCTACGTCACGTACGTGTGAACGCGGCTAGTGGCAACCGCGGTGACCTTAACAAAGAGTAAGCAGTAAGAGTAAAGTAAGAGAATGAGTTAGCCTCCAAGAACGGTCCTTGCTAGAGTAGGGTTAGCCAGGGGACCCTAGTCAATGTGTATATATTGACGTTAGTCACACAGTGACACAGCCTGGTTGTTGGTTTAAACTTAAGGTTAGAACTTAGACTAGCTCCAAGAAACGGTATTGCTAGGGTTAGAATACCGACGTATATTGACGTTGTGATTATGATAACATAAGTTTACCTGAGTAAGTAATCAAACATGAAATATATTTCTTCGAGGATAAATGACCGGAAAATGCAATGATATTGTGTACCGATAGATGGCGCTAAGAAAAATATTTACCTTCCATAAACAACTTCCGGGTTATTGACGTATTTCCTGTACAGGTCAAGTGAGATCCGCCGCAGCGCAAGTCATTGGAATGCATAATCTTGTTAGCAGTTACTTTACTAGTCTTTAGACTAGTTAGGAATCAAATAAAATTCTTAAAATCTCCATTATTTACAGTTAACCGCGCATATATTCAAGCACTCTTTGTCACAAGAAGTTGGTAAGAATTTTTCCTATTCTTCACCTTTTCTTTGATGCGCGTGACGTACGGTGTACAGTGCTTCAACTTTCAAGGTATAACTATAAATTAAAAAGTGTAGGTAAATGACGTATGAAGAAATCATTCAATTTTCAGAATACTCTGATCTAGATCATATAAATGAACACCATTAGTTTAGTCCAACGTCAGTGATCACATAATAAAGCAGCGTGTACCTTCATTACATTCGTTTATTTTTATAAGTAAAGGTTGCACAGCCACAAGTAAGTACGGTACTGTACACGTTAAAGGCATAATTCGACCATCGATTATGCAATTTTAACGAATTGCTTCAGTAACTGCACCTTGTGTAGTTAATAAGTACGATTACCTTATAGCAAACGCGTCTTAGTTGTCCAATATCACTGCTGGTTACTAAGAAATGTCTAATTGAAATCCGCAGTCCAAGAAATCGCTTGTTGACTAGCTACAAACCGCCATGCCGGCTGTAACCGGCCAGAACTGGCGAGGCGGTGTCATACAGATTATATGCACCGGACATTTTCGCACGTATGCTCGGCCGTCAGTGATTTCGATCCTTGTAGTCTGAGTGCGCATTCCCGTACGTTATGGTTTTACTCTTGGGATTCGGGAATAATGAATATACGTTCTTAAGATTACAAGCAACATATAATATGTGGCAACTAGGCAAATAATAACACTAGGCAAACAATTTACCCGGAACAAACAATTCGATGCTCAACATCGTTAAGCAACATGTGACGTCACCGAACCGAACTCGAGTTTATTTTGTTGGCCATAAATTTCGCGTTGTCGCCAGATTACCAAATTTACGGATTTCAATTAGACATTTCTTAGTAATTAGCATGATATTGGACAAACTAATACGCGTTTGGCTATAAGGTAATGTACTTATTAACTACACAAGGTGCCAGTTACTGTAGCATTCGTCAACTTTGCATAATCGATGGTCGAATTATGCCTTTAATAATTCAAATAGAGACCTAGGTTAGGCCATCCTTAATAAAATTCTATGTTTGCTGTCCCCCGACCCATGATTTTTTAGCTCATCTGACATAGTCAGATGCAGCTTGTAGAATCGCATGAGCGTGCGTCCGTTCGTGCGTGCGTCCGGCTGTCCGTCCGTCCGTCCCTGCGTCCGTCAACAGTTGGGCATAAATCTAAACGGCTTGACATACGGATTCGAAAGTCGGGACGTAGGGGGGTAAGCCGAAAACGATTTGGTATGTCGAAGCTGGGGGTCAAAGGTCAAAGATTAAGAGGTGTAAAAGAAGGGGAACATTCCTTAACTTAAGGTATAGGGAGGAAATGCCAGAATTGCGGCACAAATCTATACGGCTCGACCTAGGCTCGTGATAGTTGGTGTATAGCATCATTATAGGATAAGCCATCACTGTGCCGGAGGTCACAGATCAAAGGTCAATGGGGCACAGGGCAGATTTTAGACATTTTCTGAGACATGGTCTGACGGAGCGATTGGAAAACTTTGTTTCAGCGGTGACCTACCATTTTTATGGCTTTATTGAAAGGACCATAAAATGTACTTTCCGCTGACATGCGAAGAGTAAGTGTCGGATAACCTTTTGACCTTCAAAAGAGAGGGTTAAACATGGATTTGTTGACTGTTAACAAAGGACTGAACTGCTTTTGCTATTGTGGATTGAGGCTACAGTTGCACAGTTCAATTGCAAAGCCAAAATGTTTGTTGAACAAGGTTTACGCTCCTTAAATCATATATTTTCTAAAGCAGTCTGTATTAGCACCCTGAGTAGCACCCTGTATTAGCACACTGTAATGAACCCTGAATGCTCGCGTGGGTAGGCAAAAACATAAGGGCAGCCCATTACGCATGCATGGGGGTGAACTGGCACATTCTAATCATAATTATTGCCTGGCAACCTGCAATGCAGATGTGTTAACTCACAGCTGAGGCGAAATTCTTGCCTGCCTAATATACTTGGATTTCAGCAACTCAATGGAGTGGGTTATCACGCACGAAGGGGGATGCCATCTTTGATTATTGATGACACTTGCACGCGCCATCTCGCGGCAACTGCTTTTGCTATTAGAGCCCCCTCCACTTGCCCCCTCCCCACTCTCCCCCACCACCACCACTACCTCGCTTGCTCTCGACTCATATCCAATGAATACATGTTAATATAGCGAAGTCATTAAAGTTACACAGCTGTATCTTTATTACTGTACTACCGGTATAGCAAAGCCTATAGCTATCATAGATTTGAGATCTGTATTAGTAGTATCCTAGATATATGCTCTGAGCACGAATGCGGTGGCGGGAGGGCGCACTTGATTTGGTTGCCAGTGAGTTTATCAGAAGAATACCCGGCTACAGTACATGTCAGTTGAGCGCTGTCGCTCTGCGGCACTTGTTTAGTGGGTAGGTAGGTAGGTCTTCTTTTTTTTGTGAGGCATAATAGTTATTTTAAGTCTGTCCTCATGTTTGCCACACATGCTTTGTGCTTCAGTCTTAACTATGAGGAATGTAAACAAACAAAAATGGAACCCAAATTAAAAAAAAAACTTGGGTCGCGGCTATTTTCGTGGGTCGGTCGGAGTACAGCGAACATGTAATTTTTTAAGGATGGCCTTAGCTAAAAGTAAAAAGTACTAAAACGTTAACGTAGGCTGTTAGTATTAGTATTACTATTAGTATTATTATTAAAATTAATTTGTAATATAATAATGCACTGCGCCTCATGATATAATCAGGAGTGAATAATAATAGATTCTATTAGATCCTAGTGGGGGGAAGGTTTTTCTGACTGTTGCTCCCTCGTAACACGTTGGTCAAGCATTGGTAGTCAATGATCGTAGGTAGTGATGGTCGAAGGCATCGTGTATAATATAGACAGCTTTATTCTAATATACATATGTTACGACATACATAAGCACAACAGTACGTAAGTGCCTCCTAATTATAATACCTCCTCCCCTTCGTCTCGCTGTCTCTATTCCTTTCCTCCCATCTCCTACATCTCTTTTTACTTCATCTCCCCGGCTTCTCCCTTATATATCTCGGGCACGGCTTTTCTGTGGCCACGTGCTCTCTCTCGCCAGGGTGCCAGCTCATGTAGTACATAGTTTTACAGTGGCATGTATGTCTGTATTTTTGTAGCACCATGTTTGAGAGGAAGGAAGCAGCAAAGCTATGCACGCCAGCTGTAGGAATGTCGATGGTGCTACTGCTGCTCATCACAGCAACTCAAGCAGACGAAAATGAAATTGCGGACAAAAGTCACGATGTCAAAGACCTGACAGAAGCTCTTCATGTCAAGCCAGTAGATGAGGTGAAATTAGAACCATGAATATTTGTGTGTTAAAGCTAGTTTAATAGACCTTATCATGTGTGTTAGCTATCAGTATGTAAATTGTACCACACTACTTACAAGCAATAATTGATATACAGGCCTAATTATTCTTTTGATGTCCATTAAATAGTTTCAATATGGTAACAGATACAGACTATTTTACCCCATGACTTTGAGCATTGCCTTCACGATTATGCTTAGTATGGCAATTAAAACCATGGAAAACTATTTGAACAAACCACTTTAGTTAAGAGTTTACTCACGTGTTGAATTTTGCAGATGGTTAATGAGCAAATGAAGTCGGACCTTGGCTTCACACATTCATTTGTTGCTACTGTATCGATGATCATTGTATCAGAGCTGGGAGACAAGACATTTTTCATTGCCGCCATCATGGCGATGAGACACGCTCGTCTTGTCGTGTTTGCTGGAGCCATCAGTGCCCTTGTCATTATGACTGTACTTTCAGGTTAGTCTTCTAGATGTCAATAAATGGAGGCACTTGTTATTCATCATTGATACGATGAACATCAGAGCAAGGAGAGATATAATTGTATATAATTAATGTATATCATTTACACACTTGTTTCATCAAAACATCAACATCACGAATGATTGTTTTCTGACTACCAGAGAGGGTAAGTTATATAATGAGACATATAAGTTCTAACCAAGTGATTAAGAACCTGGTAGGCTTAGATTTTTCATTCAGACCCCTTGACATAAGAACCTGCTTTAGCCTAAAATTTGAAACGGGTTTTATTTATTAAAATTCAGTTAACAAGTTCAGTGTACATAGTAATGTACAAAAGTACAGTACAGTGCAGTTTCACTGCATACATTATGAAATTGAGCCATGATACCATACCTTAGGCTTATGACTGAGGACCCTGACCAGGCATTATCTTTGTGGTGTTTTAAAACAATCTAGTTTTGTTTTGTTGATGTTTATTAGGTATAAGGGAAAAAGAAATAAGATAACCTAGAATAGGGTTTGTATTTGTCTAGATTAGAATGCAGTCATTTAGACATAATTATATGCATATTTTATATAAACAGTGGACCGTGCCAAAATTCTACCAGCAACAAGCACGTTGTTTTCTTAAGAAAATAAGAACCTATTTAAGAACCTAAATAGCCTAATTTCCCAGTAAACTCCAATTATATAAGAACCCTTTTAGGCTAACTTGGAAAAATGCAGGTTCTTATATGCAGATTTTTACTGTATTTACATATTTACGTGTAAACTATCCAAAACAGGAAGCAAGTGGCGTGCTATTCGTGAACAGGGCTGCGGTGACGTTAATTAGTATTCACTGGCCAGTCACGTAGGAAGAAGGTGTGCTTGTGATGAAGCATGCAGTCTGAATTATACCTGCTGTTTCTACTATTGTTTTACAGCTCTGCTTGGTTTTGCAACTACAATAATCCCAAGAACATATACCTATTATGCCTCAGCTATATTATTTGCAATATTTGGATTGCAGATGCTTAAACAGGGTACGTATGAATTGTAGCTAGTTCATAGCTTTTGTTAAATTCATTTTCATAGTTTAATTATACAATAGAGCTAAAGTAGGAAGATTCTTGTTTTAGGTTGGTATATGTCACCAGACGAGGCAGCTGAAGAAATGGATGAAGTACAGGCTGATATAAAGAGAAAAGAAGATGAGGTATGGCATAATAATCTTCCTTTCTCTTGACATTGAATTTTGGTTACTGGTTGCAAAATCATTGCAGAAGCTTGTGCAATTTCTATTGCAATTCCCCTACACCCATGCACGCAATTTTCGATGTGATGTTTGCAATTGAGTCTCCTTATTAGCAAGCTAGTGTGCTGTGCCACTTACTAGGTAGACAGGTTCCTGGCCATTTTTATCCAGGCCATACACGAGTATCAAGTCTACCACGACTGTCTGTGAGAACAGGATGTGCTCCGATGTGTAGAAATTGTATTGAGTTAAGAGAAGCATTTATGTGCTCCGTATTTTTGGATTACCCAGTTCCAGAAAACATTAACCACGTTATAGTCTAGTTATAGCCGAATAAGACAATTCACGTATGGTTGAATGCACAGGCAAGCAGAGTTCCGTATTAAATCTATCAGGGCATAGTTGCAATGCTGCAGGTATGTCCATCATGACAGTCATTACTCAGCATCCGTCTCGTCTCCTACAGCAGCTTCTACAGAACGAGCAGCCGCAGAGAGATGTGGAGTCTGGCGCGGTGCTCCGGCGCGTCCGACGCAGGCTGTGCCCCTGCTTATCCTACGTCTTTGTAGAGTCCCTCACACTAACATTCCTCGCAGAATGGGGTGACCGCTCGCAGCTTGCTACTATTGTCTTGGCAGCTAGAGAGGCAAGTACACGTGTAATATTTCTCTGTTTGCTTATTCCCTCTGCTAGTCATCATTTATATTATTCGTCAATTTGCTACACATACCTCATCGAGTCATTATGATCCAGATGTTGATCTGAAGTTCAAAATTAAAGATTTGCTGAAAAAATACGGTAATTCCGCGAGGCCGTGCTCTGGAATGAACTAGTTTGTATAGCAGAATTTTCAGGAAGTAACACGGACTCCTGCATATGTAAAATCGGGGAGTCCGACAGTAAATCAGGGAGTATTTGACTCCGGACTCGCGTTAATTTCGCACCCTGCATTTATACATGGTGTCTAAGTCACACCACTCACTGGGGATGATGTCTATAACATTAATTCTCACATGATATTTCGCTTAATGCGAGCTGTGATGTCATGAGTCCGACGCTGGAATGTCCTCTTTGTTATGTTCAAATATGTTGATTTTTTATCAATAGAATGCGTTTTTGCATTGCAGAATATAGTTGGTGTCATCCTCGGAGGTTCTTTTGGGCATTCTTTGTGCACAGGTCTGGCTGTTCTAGGTGGGAAATTCATTGCTAGCAAGATATCAGTGAAGACAGGTACGGTTTGTTATAAATTCTCACTAACTTCTTCAGGGTCGATGTATGCTTTAATAATCTTGCAGTTTCTGTGCCATGTGCATAGATGCGTTATAATGGTAGCCTCACTTGCATGTAGAAATAATTTTGAGTGTAAAGTAAAATAAATATTATTTCTTCTGTAGTGACGTTAATTGGAGGTGCGGTGTTTATGCTGTTCGCCATCTCGTCTCTGTTCCTGGATCCGGAGAGCTAGTGGGCCAACCGGCAGCCAACCCATACTCAAGTTGTGTTATACGATCACAATGGAAACCCCCTGCAATCAACTATTGTTGGGAGCTATAGAGGGCCTGGATGGTGGGTCCTGGACTATAGAGGGTTGCTGTAGACAGGAGACAGTATGCATGCCTCGCCCACACCTGTTCAAGGTGTCTGCCCGTTTGTAAATCTCTTGTCCGTCTGTCCAGAGCGGAACCTTCCAGCTATTGTCATTTGCTGCCAATTCGAGTTATGCTAAATCCCCGTCATTTAGATTGGTATTGACAACTAGATCAGTTGTTGAATTGAAACCGTTACTAACAGTTTAAATATATTTATTGATAATAAAATTAACGTTCATTATAAAAGTCGATGAACTTCTACTAAAAAAGTCTGTGTGTTTGTTTGCAATTAATATGCAAATACATACCACCACTAGTTGATGAAGATGGATCTACAGCAAGTACTGCAACCTTGTGACCGAGCCCAGTCACATATTTTCCTATTGCCTCAATGAAAGTTGATTTACCAGCACCAGGGGGACCTGAGAGCCCTGCAGGAAAGAACCAGCACATCAAATAACTCTCCCTTGAGCTTGTGAATCAGAATCCAAGTTGCCCAAAATGTGCTTAAAACATGTTGTAATAATTAAATAGATCTTACATTAGCATGTGCAAAATGCATTCTGTACGGTATTAACAGTCACTAGCCAAAGAGAATGACTATAATTACGCAAGCTTATTATCTAACCCTTACCTGCTCTAAATGATAAAGTCTTTGGGCCTTTCACCTTCAACTTCTCCTTAGCGACTTTCAGAACATTACTCAAGAGGAGTTGAGCCTCTGCTCTCTTCCTCGGGTGTACTGACTCAACAAGCGTTATAGACTCAGCCAGAGCACTCCTGCTCCCGGACATAACACCGAGAAACAGTCGTTCTACATTCTTTTTATTTGGAGCAACTTCCGAGTCATCCAAGGCGGGAGACTCATTGAAGACAGGGTAATGAGTTGGTGCCCGAGGTAGGACACCGCACGTGTAAAGTAATCGCCGGGTGCTGGCAACTCTCAATAGCTGGAGACGGCAAAGACAGCATCTGAAGCTCCCCATGTTCTTCTGAAAGTGTAATATATGAGTAAGTAGCATTAGGCCATATGATACGGCAGGCCATAGATATAATAATTACAATGTAACACTGCAAACGGACATGATATGGCTTGGTTATATATAGACTTAGCTCTAGAACTATAGCCATTTGCTCTGTCACCGCACCACAGGGACTATAGTCCCTTAATTAGCATAGGCTTGGATTTTGAGACTTAAGGCCCCCCCGCACACAGTGAGGTTCCTGCTCAGCACAGTCTCGTGAGGCGGTGATGAAAATATCTGTCGTGTTTGATAATTTTGGTCTCACTAGGCTGAACTCACTATTGGCGCATGCCAGCGAAAAAAATACACGGGAGCGGCGAGCGATTTCGCTCCCGTCAGCTTTCAAAGCGCTCTGGTAACAACAATTACGAGAGCGAAAATTTTGGAAGATACGAGAAAAAATCGCTCCCGTGCCGCTGGCAGCGTTCGAGACCACCAAATTTTTGCTCGGGCCACCATCTCTACAAAACTCGCGGTCCTCCTGACCGGCACTTTTTCCTCTCATATTACGATGAAATACTACGGTTAGACTCCCTCAACGCATGATTCGCCACACGAACGAAAACTCGCCACAGTCTAAGAAATCGATTGCGGGCACGTAGACAGTAGTGCAGCCAGTGTTTTTATGACCGCCTAACAATAAGTTTTTATATCGCAAGGTTATCATGGGAGTGAGGGCACGACCAGTGACACCTGACACGCACGTAATCAAGCTGTTAACTGAATTCGTTACTTTTTTTAACGTAGAAAGTGTACATTTTATTCGGTTAGATATCTAGAAGCAATGTAAACTGTATATACTTAAAGATTCTAGGCACTTGTATGTAACTTTGCGGATGTGCGGCAGCATTGATCTATGCATGGGGGTACCGTGGACTGGGGAGGAGAAAAGCGAAAGTAAAACCTTGCTCAGAAGCTACCGGCATTCCTAGAGATTCCAGTACAAGTTTTTTTTAACATACTCAAAGTAACTAAAAACTCTCTCTGAAGTTCTGAACTTGCTCAGTCGATGTAAAAGAGAAAGTTGAAAAATGAAAAGAAATAAAGTAAAAAAAAGGAACTTGAAAATAACCATACCATCATTACCATGATTATAATTCTTGATTTCCTGTCTTCCCAGCTAACAATATAACATTGTGGCAACGTTATTTTGTGGACTCGCCTGAACGTTGCCACAACGTTGTGATACAACGTTGTGGCAACGTTGTGGCAACGTTATTTTGTGGACTCCCCTGAACGTTGCCACAACGTTGTGATACAATGTTGTGGTAACGTTCCTGCAACCATGTGTACACGTTCAAATGAATATTAAATGTGTAATTTAATGTTCAAAGCAGAAAAGAATGATGACATGTACACTACATTATTTCATGGGAACATCAGGGAATTTTACATTCATTTAAATTAACAATGCGATCTGTATAAGCGCATGAAATACATCATTTTAGTTTGTAACTTTTGCCATAAAAACAAAGTTAATATATATTTCAAATATGTTGCACAACTTATAGAGTTCAAAAATTTAAAAGGAACACTAACAATTAATAGCTTGACAATATTTATTTTACATTACTATATACAATAAAGGTAAATTACATATCTGGTATTTAATCCGAATCGTTTCCGTGCGCTAAATCTGCCTCCCGGTCCTGGCAATTATGGTTGAACGTTATTGATACGTTTAATGGTGAAACCTATGGCTTGCACAATATTAGGACAGATTAGCAAACCACCTAATTGATAATCCCCATGGACACAAATCTGCAGAGTTAAAGAGGCCAAAAATACACAAGCCATTGTCTGCTTTATGAAAACACACTGTTGGGGTGGTTCGTACCCAACAGAGACTTCCTGTCCTGGTCCAATTTACACAAAGAGTTCAATACACCGTTTAATGAATTCAGTTTTATTGAAAACGCCAACTGCCCCATACAATGAGTACGATTACAGCTTTTTATAAGTTTTACAAATTTTGTACCGAGTCTCAATTAACATCGAGCAATAAAGTATAACATGTGTTATTATAGAAAAGATCAGTACAACGTTCGCTCGACCGTATACACTGCCGTTTAGATTTTATGAAGAAATGTTGTGATATAGCAAGTAGCAATACAAATAAGTTGTAGTGAATTTTTATAAGATGGACGAGCTCACAGTAGGTATATATATATATATCTATATATTTTGCTGTGAGAACATGCCAATTAATAAAACTCTCCGACTAGTGCGCTGTATGCGCATAATATAATCAACACGATAGAAGCCAGTGTCCGCGCTCACGCTAGGTCCTCATACGAGGGTGTCCAGGCGACCGTCAACTACTGTGACGCCACCGATGTCAACATAAAACGACAGGTCAGTTTGTGGAGTACTCGTTGTGCTCAGCGCACGGTTGGAAGTTGGAACCCCTGTTAGAACTAACGTGTAATGAATTAGTGTGAGAAGAGCATGCTGTGGGGTGTAGAATAGGGTTGGGTTTACCGGTAGAGCCATGACAACCACCCTCGTTGTTATTTTGTGGTTTGTCGGACCAGGCTCGTTGGCTCGTTCTTTCGCTTGGTCGCGGATTACCTTGTTCGTGACGACTTGCATGTGTGATCCAGATATCCTCGACACCGGAGTTATACTGCTCTACTGCATGATGGCTGCTGTGGATTTGGTGGATTTGGGGGTGGATTTAGTGGATTTGGTGGATTTGGTAGATTTGGGGGTGGATTTGGTGGATTTGGGGGTGGATTTGGTGGATTTGGTGGATTTGGTGGATTTGGGTGGATTTGGGTGAATCGTGTAACCCCCCCTGGGTACCCGAGGTGTCGGCGAGTATGTCGCCTACGCCTACTCCCTAACCCTAACAGCCTAACCGTAACCATATCAAATAGTTACCTCGGGTACATATTATACGCCATTATACGACAACGACCCTTCGTGCTAGATTACATGGTAGGTGTGCAAGTGCTGAAGCATGTGGTACAACCATGTGAAACAACCAAAGCTCTCTGCAAGATTACATTTCATTTTTGTTGTATTATTACTTAAAGATATCTACCTTCAGCTCATCCATATTTGGAAATGGTCATTTGTAATGAGTGAAATTGAATTCCCATTATAGTTGGGCTGTTATCTACCTATGGATATCGTATCTGATACTCAGCACAATGAAGTGTAATAATTATTCTATGTCAAGCACCATGATTAATGTGGTTAATTTACTTCTTAAAAATCATGTTATTTGTCTAATAACTGGTTTTGCGTTAACACATAATGTCAGTAACCTTGTGAATACAGAGTGTACCAGCTTGGAGCATAGGAATATCGCTTTCAATTGAAATACTATATTTATTTATAGTCAGGTGTGGGGCACTCCCTTTAAAAACGGGTACGTCTCCGCATATGCTACTTGTATAGACACCCCCTATGCACGGGGATTTGGCATAAATTCGATTTTTTGATAAATTTCGGGAGCTTTCACCTTTACAATACAATTTTTTCTAAAAGCATGGATGCTAATATTCTCAAAATTTACCAGTGCTATTTTCTAAGAGGCTATTTCTAGTTTTTTAAACGTTAAGCAACAATAAAGTAAAAGTTATTGCAAGTGTTCATGCCATAAAGCACATGTATTGCTTTACTTGGCAACTTCCTCCTAACGGTATTATACCCTGGTCTAAATTTCTGATGCAGTGACTTATTATTTAAAACTATATTTTTTTGTGTGAAAATACCCCTTTACTTGAATGTAGGTGTGAACTCATACCCGTTTTTTTTTAGGTGAGAAGCTGTTGTTACATAGTTTACTTGGGTCGTCGTTGTTTTTGTTCAAATCTCACAAACGCTCATTACTGGTACTTTCACAAAAGAAAATTTTCTGTGTAGTTATGTGCACTATTGTATGGTGATGGCATGTATAGAATGAACTATAATCACTTTATAATGAAGCAAGAGCAACCAACTGTTTCCTTGTTAGGTACCCACATACCACTACAAGATGTAATCACTAACGTTGTTTTAAATTGCATCGAAAACTTGCGGGTACAAAGTGCATTGAAATGAGAAGCAATACTACCTGTTATTTTTGCAATGCTACCTTGGGAAATTCTATGTAGATTTCCACACAAAATATGTCTGGTGTCTCTCCCAGTACTATGGGAATGATAGCATTGATTATACTCTGCCAAAACACTTTGTGCCATTGGAAAATGTCTATAGCTTGGTTGCTACTGTAGTTGGTTTCAATCACAATTTCTTTCAAATTCCTTGTACAAACTAGCAGACTGGCTGGCCCTGTTACCCTTAATCCAGCAAAGTTTTACTGGCCGTGCAAGTCATTTGGTGTCTACTAAGAACATTTCCACATATGGAAAAACAGCACCTACTCGCTTTACAATGCAAAGTTATTTTTATATATGTACAACGTAAATCTTCCCAAATGGAAATTTTGTCACTAGGGGGCACCACTATGTAGTTTTATGATAGCTTTTAACAGAGCATATAATGATATAAGTCAAGTTGATTTATATGCTCTGCTTTTAATTTCATGCCGACGTGCGGACTCATAGGAATGCACATACTTGAGCGTCCGTTTTGATGACATTGTTGTATAAATAAATTTGTTAGGGTGTATGTATATTTAATCAAAGCCACTATATAAAATTATTTGTACAAAACGATAATAAAATACGTCTATGGAATATAAATTAATGTTAATTGACATTTAATAAACTCACAATCTATCACCTTATTTGTCACACTGTAAACGTACCATGAAAAATTACCTTGCTATGCATATTATCAAGAGTAGATAATAGAAGATTATTCTTCTATTATCTACTAGAATCTTATATTATCTAGAAGAATCTTCTATTATCTACTCCTGATATTATTTATCTTCCTACAAGACATGCATGTGAAATTATCAATCATTATTCAAACAATTTATATATAACAGCTATGCTAAAAGGCAACTTTGTGGTAATTTAACGCACACCCTTGGTATTTGGAAAATACTTAAAAATTTATACCTTACAACACATAGTATTTACAACAACAAATTATATATAAAATAAAGACAATACTGAACAAGTAGTTACACACTTTGAGAACTGAAACAGTGAAATCTTGATGCTGTTTCAGGTGAATACACGTTTTTTATAATTACTCGGTCATGATTAAAGAACATTATATATATATATAAATTTATCTGTATCCAAGTAATGCATGCCACCCTGGTCATGCCATTATACATTTGTCCTTCTTTTCCTGTTGGCGTTGTTGCTATAGATGAATTCGACATACAGGGGAAAATGGAGAAAACATTGTAACATACATGAACGACTGAATGAGAATATAAATTCAAAATTCATACATGAGCATCATAATACCTGTGTATATTCCTGTTCACTGGCTGCCAAGGCTCTTGCCAATGCATGATCCTCCTGCTCTTGAGCCACCATCTCTTGACTAAAATGAAAGTAGAACAGAAGATGAGCCTTACTTGAATTGATTACACACAATACTTCAGTGATCCATAATATTCGTGTACACGCAATACTTTTGTATCACCTCACTGAATGTGAGTTTGATGAACAGTGGGTTTCAGACATTCTGTGTTTGTCGAATCGGCAGTCTTTCTCACGAGACAAAAATCACTGACTACTACAACATCTGATAATCAAATCAACAAAGAATATATCAAATCTGATACGGACCATCTTTAGACACATTCGGTGATGCATCTTTAGCTACAACCTTTACAAGAACACGTCATACCTCTTACCTGTTATTTGTTGGACTTGTGGATGTTGTGGGTGCAGAAGTTTCTGCCAGCGACAGCTGCATTGCCCTGGCTAGGGCTTCATCTTCAGACTAACAGTTAAACCAAAAAGAAACATTTTTAATACTATATTTTAATGGTGTTCTAATTAATCGAGTTCGTGGAGTGTTTCTCATTCAGTTTTCCGGGATGGAAACTTCATAAACGAGTTTTACTCGCTTGCCACTCTCACTGATAAATACTGCTTAGCATTATGAAAAATGTAAGTATTTTGAATGATACAATCATCAATAGGCAACCCTTGTAAGTGTATAAAGTGGATGATTGTTTCAAATATATTTTCTGAGTAGTTTTCAATTGTTACTCGTTATTGTAACTTTTCAAAGATTCAGTCTGTGCAACTGATGATCAAACTTGAATCAATTGCTCAATTTCTTTTCAGCTAGAATGCATAATTGTAATGACAATAGCAGCCAATGAATAATGATTAATATAAAATACACGCGGAAACTATCTAAGAAAGGATATCTACACATACTGACACAAACTTCTTACAATCAAGACAATTGCATTACATCCTACAAATCTGCGTGTCATATGTACACTGCAAAACCTACCATCCCTCCTTGTATTGTCTGTGCGACGCTCCTACCCTGGGAGGCAGATCCAGACTGGCGTGAACGTGCTCCATATTCGGAAGCAGACGTCGATGCTTGCTGGGACTGCTGTGCAGCATGTCCATGGGAAGCCTTCTTTGCTGGTACCTTCTCGGACTGACTCAGGCTTCGCAGCCAAGCAGCGACTCTGCACAAAACATAACAATTCGTAACAATTTCGCAATGAAAATCTTATAACCAGAACATAATCTACAAATGTTATGCGTGCACGGTACAAGTAACATTAAATCAATACAAAGAGCATCTGCATCTAGTATTTCTAACAACATGCTCTGAATATGCGAACGAAAATTTAGTTTCTATTACTGACATGGTCAATGCACTTTAAGCTTAGCAATTGTGGTTGGATTTTCATATTGCATCTATGCTAATAGTGACTTTGCAGGTATGTGCGCACACACCCAGGTTTTGGTAGTGCTCTATCGCTGTCCTGGAATCCTTTGCACTCATGATCGGTCTCGTGTCTGTGGCGCAGGCAAAAGTTATGCCGACATTTCTCACATCTGACTGGCACTAACTCTTTCTGCTTGCACCCTCTGACAGAGCACTTATTGGTGTAAACCTGAAATTTAAAGTTCATAAATTTAGCTAAAGCGTGGAAATTCTAAAAGAGGCAAATTCCTTTATCCGACTCAGTGCCGGTCTTGGATAGGGGAGGTTGCACCTGTACTGATAAATCTTTCTTTTTAATAAATCTGTTCAATAATGTTTAGGTTGACAGCAATGCAAACGCCCTACAACAACAGCTATGCGCATAGTGTATAGTAAGTACGTATTGCTCCAGCATACCTTGCGTTTTTCTTTGGCTGGATCTGACTGGCAATCACGGTCAATGTGTTCACCAACCCCAATGTCTGGTGCTTCTCCTCTTTTAACAGGGACTGGTATATTGCACAGGGGACACACAGGGACTTGAACGTCCTACAAAACATTTATTACTTCATAATGAACCTTAGGTAGATACATGGATACAATACTGCTGCATTGTTTCATTCTTTTATTAGAATCAATCAGGTAACAAGTCGAGTGCTTACCTTTTTGTAGGCAGACTCACAGTTGTGACGGGCATAAACAAAGTGATCTTTGCTGGAAATCAATATGGAAAGAAATATATGCATACATACAATACTACATTATGTAAAGTATTAGCTCCGTCTATAGGTGTATCACCAAGTTTCCATGTTACTGTTCCTCCCGGGAAGCTTTTGTGTGTAGTGCAGCTAACCTCAAGGGATCCCGCAAGTATCGTCATATTACCGTCTACGTTATTACCGTCTATCGCCATTGTGACATTCCTTGCTGGCACTAACACAGTCACATTCAACTTGTTACTCGACATGTATGCTCCAAACACACTATTTGCTATACACGCGTACGATCCTCTGTGTTTAAACTCGACTCGATCAATCACCACCTCGTCGCCTGTAGCTTGTATCCCCTGGTCGTCGTGCAACCACGTGAAAGATGGTTCTGGATAGCCGTCAGCATTGCAGCGGAGAATCAGCTTCTCTGCCTCGATAATAATGACGTCATCATCACTGGAGTTGTTGCTGCTGATGATGGCCACGGTGTCCGCCATGTACAAAATCTTGGTTAACACTTCTTCGGGTAAACGTTGGTGACTGAAGATATGACACCGAAGTTCTTTGTCAATGTCTTCTGTTGAAAACCTGTGACTCAGGATACTTTTTGCTGTAAATGTCTTGTTTCTTGAACCCGCTTCCTCTGTTTGACTGGAGTCGTCCGTAATATCATCAGCATTCAGCCACCAGGTGATGCTAGCTGCTGGGTTACTGCTGTCTGATACACACGAGAACTGTAGCGTTCCATCCGGTGATGAAGCGCTGTCTATAAGAGACATGGCAACCGACTGTGGTGGCACAAGCACAGTTAGATGACCCTTGTTTGATGAAGGACCAATGCCTGGCGCTCCCGCGGCATCCTGCCATACACAATAGAACTCTGCCTCATCTTTCTCAACTCTCACGTTAGCTATTAGCAAGCCAAAGTTTCCTGTGTCGTACCTGTTGTCGTCAATGTAAGAATATCTTTCTTCATTTGTAGGACTTACGTAGGAACCGTCTCGATACCAATAAACGAAAATGGGTAACTCTTCCCCGGAATTGAAACTAAGGTCAATCGTGCAGTGCACCGTAACACTGGTACCTTCAACTTCCTCCGTGTCATATGGTTGCTGCAGGAACTGTGTCCTCACCGCAACTACACACAATACACACACCGCAACCAGCCTCACTGCTGCCATAGCTCCAAGAAACGGTCTTGCTAGGGTTAGAACTTAGAAGACAATCGGTCGCACAGCCTGGTCGGTCTACTGCAGCCTTTGTTAATCCTGCCCAAAGTTTGCATCCGACAATAAACTAGTACGTATTAGTATTACGGTAATAACCGTAACGGTAATAACCTAGACGGGTAATAACCTATAGTAGCGATGCTGATCGCTCACGCCATGTTGTCTAGATTTCAGCAACCATATTTTCAGTTAAGTCAATGTAGCTACTTTCAGAAGACGTAACTTTTAATATATATCATATTATGAAAACAAACTTTGTGGTCTAGATGAGAAGGGCCTCAACCGTTTATGTTATTATTTTCAGAATTTTTTGCTGGAGAGGCTAGCAAGAATGCCAAACCTCATTTCTAAATTTAAGGTATGCATAATATTGATAGCATATCCAATCATATATGACATAAAGTAGTATGAGTAATGACAAGATATGACATAAACTAGTAATAGTAATTCCATACAGTGATTAGAGAATTAAACGTTAATTGTTATAAGAAGCTTATATAGCATTATAGTCTGACTCTTAGCCACTATCAAATCCAACCTACCAAAACACCGTCTTACATGCATCGCAAGTCATTGGCAGGAAATCTGAAAAATAAAATTTCCACAAAATATAATATTAATAAACAGAAATTACGCATACACTAAATTATTTAGACATTCCCATTTGCAATTATTAATAGTAATAATCCGTGTTGTAGGCCTATAATCATTATTATGTAAATCTACATAGCTGCGTAGATTGTCTATTAGCTCAGCCCATATTATTGGCTACAGCCTACACTAATACCCATCCGTTACAGAATGTGCTGTTTTGCTCAACATCGCCCATCCATGGCATCATCACACTGATATCGCTACTGTGTTAGCAAAGAGATCGGTTTAGCGTTATACTCTAGTAGTGGAGTCTAGGGCTAACCAGTGAATGAAGCCCCAACTCAAGTGTCAACTTTCTAACCTGTACTAGCTACAACTGATTGTTAACACATGCAGATGCACTAGCAATGCAGACTCAGTGCCAGTGTGACTGCAGATCATCGTATCGTATCGTATATTGTCCCACTCTTGTATTTCACTAACCCGACCAGGCTGTGTGACTAACGTCAATAGGACTCTAAGTAGGTATCTAAGTAGGTCTCTAAGTAGGTATCTAACCCTAGCAATACCGTTTCTTGGAGCTAGTATTTCACCTGTGATTTCACAAGGATCATGATGGCCCAACATGGCAAATCATCTCTGTGTAAGCTGATTTTTTTATAAAACGAGGTAGTCACGTAAGTTTCAATGAACCTTACCAAGCTGCTTGCATGTAGTTACTGAACATTGTTGTCCAAGATGCGGAAACTCCATCCCGTCGCTGTCTCACTTTGACTTTGACTTTGAGTATGATACAAGCGTCAGCGGAGACAAGATTAGTAAACAACTGAGGTAATTTTTCTGCGTTAATTACCTATTCGAGAGCTACTATTACTAGCACCCAATTCCTTCACAAATAGTCCGAGAACAGCGACGCATACAGTTTTATAGTTCCTGTGCTGTAGTGTAGGCAGGGATGACAACAATGACTTAGCAGAATACAAACTTCGAGTTTGTTCCAAACGATTCTAGAAGGATGACTAGTTAGTTAGCAACGTTCTCTGGTTGCACAGTGGCATTTTGGCGCGATCCTAGCGCCACCCGTTTTATTTTCGTCTAATCAAAAATTAGTGCCTATAAGACAAGCGAACATATAATTTCTGGTCATGTGCTTATTCGCTTAGAAACAGCCGTAGATACAGACGCTTTGCCGTTGATTTCCTTGTTTGTTTGTGCAACAAGCACAGTTTGCATTGAAGAACTACATCGGAATTACCAGTGGCTGTATCGTTTATTTGGATTGAGCCCACTACTGAACTTAAGCACGTCATGGCAAAAAGTACAAACTAGACTAGAGTAGAGTGGGCTCAGTGGTGCCTTCGCCTTCGGGTGCCTTGTGAAATACAAGAGAGGGTGCTAAGATACAAGATACAAGATAGAGAATAAATTATATCAGGAGCGTCATAATCACTGCCAGTTTTGCCAGTGTCAGGCTGAGAAGAATATTATATTATACCACAGGCTCTTGGAGGCTCAAGTTTCAAGAAGAGTATAAGAGCGAAGTGCTTCGCTCTTATACTCTTCTTGAAACTTGAGCCTCCAAGGGCCTGTGATTATACAGTACATTGTGATTGTATCATAGGTCATAGATATAATATAACAAGATTTCAAGATTTTTATTTGTGCTAAACGAGGATAAATCAGACAGTGGGAAAATTAAACAGTTATAACTTTGTTAATATAGGCCTAATCATAATAATGCACGGGTATGGCGAAAGGACCTTGCGGTCATCGAGTCAGCCATACACTACCACTATAGTATTACTATTAGTTACAGTACATATTACTTTCCAAGGCACGATGTTGACTGATATTTACAATACATGACATGATCTGATGATTACAGCACACACAATCCATCACAATACACAACGTTATACTACCTACGACGTTATATTATATTACAATACATGACATGACAAGACGTCATTATAATACAATACAACACATTACGATTAGACAACTTTATATACGTATGACATTACAAGACATGATGATATATGATATTTACAATACATGACGTGATCAGATGATTACAACACATACAAACCATTACAATTTCTGATGTAATACTACCTACAATACATGACGATATAACATGTGTTATATAATATATATATTAGATCTATGCCTACTAGTTCAAGACCCCCTACTTACTACAACATTTATTGTGTCATTGTAACACAATCGTACTGCACGCCACTGAAAGAAAGAAAGAAATACCTTATTGGCAATGTGAATAAGTGTTCAAGTGCGTGCGTGGAGAGACTGCGTGTTGTAGGGGATTATTTAAACACCGTTTATATAGAATTATTTAGGCGATGGATAGTGCGTTAGTATTGGGACTTGGCTCTGGCAGTGGAAGTAAACAAAATTGGTTTATTTACCAAAGTTTTTGTGTCAGCTTGCATCAACACTATATCTGGGTAGTGATTGCCATTCTCAGGTAATACGTGACCGTGCTGTTACTAGTGGTAATGTAAGTTTATATTGCAGTTACAGAGGATCTCATTCGGAAAAGAGCAGAGCATAATGCCTGTGAAATATATTCGCTAGAAGAGCTGTCATTGCACCAACAGGACATAGAGAGGTGAGATTATCCCAATAGGTCAACTGCAAGCTCATTTGTTTATAATTCAAAGAAGTAGCGTACCGGTAGCAATGTTGTGGAGAGGGTAAACAAACCTTGATAAAATCATGCTCTGTAGTCTCTATATAACAATATTATTGCAACAGTTTTATTTGCTTCACTGTACAATTATGTTAAACTTTGCATATTGCATCTTTACAGGTGTGTCTAGTGATGATCTGCTTAAGGAATTATATGTTTGTTATGTTTAATCATATTTTTTTTGTTTACAGAATTGAACATATTGACAAATGGTGCAGAGAGCTGAAGATTCTTTTGCTACAAAGCAATCTGATTTCAAAAATTGGTAAAGACAGAGTATACCTATTTATGTGCTTGTGTTGTGCTTGCATTGGTTATCTGTTAACTCTAATTTATCACATTTGCTTTTCACAATGTGATGCAAGCCATGACTCCTTATCTTGTCAATTGAGATTATTATAAGTGCAATTATGCAGTGCAGTTATATGCAGTGCAGTTATTTAATAATTTGATTAGTTTTTTACTATAGATTTACCGTGAAATTTATTTTTCAGAACATGTGGGTCGCCTGAAAAAGCTTGAGTACCTGAACTTAGCACTCAATAACATCACAATGATTGAAAATCTAGAAGGTTGAAGGTTTTTCAAATTTCTTGTGATTGAATTTAATTAAATAACTCTAGAAAACAATAAGTTTTTCATAGGGTTCTACAATAATTTTTATCAATAATCGTGTAAGCTCAATCTCTGAAAAGTAATTATATACATAATATTTAACAAGTAACAAAATATAAGTTACATTTTACTGTTTCTTTCATTTTCTAACCATGGTACTAAATTCACCTCAGTTATAACCGATTTTTGTTATATATATTTTGTTCATAAAAGGTATTAATAATTTCTTTAGGGTGTGAATCATTGAAAAAGTTGGATTTCACTATCAACTTCATAGAGAAACTAACCAGTGTAGAGAGTCTAAAGTCTAACATATTCTTAGAAGAACTGTGAGTATGATAATAGCCTAGGTAGAAACAATTTAATTCTCAACTGACATGCATGCTTGGGTTCTTCATCATCAATAGAGATAGCTTATTTATCATCAAGTGGAGTGAGATATTGTTGTTTATAGCAGTTTAATATATTTCTTTTATAGGTTTCTAACCGGTAATCCATGCACCGATTACGAAGGATACAGAGAGTATGTGGTGGCTACTCTTCCATGTCTTAAGGTATCCATTTAATAGAAAATGGTAGTGGCATATATGATATGTAGTATTTAAATCCTACTTAGGAGTGGACACATTGTTATAATCATTATTACTGCTGTCATCATTGGCTATGACATAAAACATAACTGGACGTTAAACGTGATGTCTGTTGTATTTCTTACTGCAGTGGCTTGATGGACAAGAGGTGAATAGGTCGGAGAGGATTGCTGCATGCCAGCTGTATGAAACAATAAGAGGAAACATTCTCTCCCAAGAGCAGAACTGCTCCCTCAAGAAGGTGAATATTTTTTTCATTTGCATAGGAGTCTTTTTCTGATATCCTACTGTGGTTGTGGTTTTTAACGTATCATACACGGTCTATCGTAGGAGCGGCAGTGCAGCGTGGCAGGCAAGGAGGGAAGTGTGGAAAAGGAGAGGAAGACTGGCTTTGATGGACGCTGGTACACGGACATCAACACATCGGTGTCATCCTCAAAGGAGGAGAAGAAAAGTTGTCTGGCTGCTACCACTGCATCTGAATCGAACGATGGTGAGGCAAAGCATGATCTTAAGGAAGATAGCGATTTTTGGACAAGACCGGAGGCCTTTACCCCACAAAGTCGGGTGGAAACTCACAAACACTTGCAGAAGATGAGGGACAAGGATGTCAAAGTCCAGTATGTCCATATACAGTATATATTGAAGCATTCGACAGTAAACGAATTGAACAAATGCGTGTGGATATGAAGAATTCGAATAAGAGAGAAAGAGAGAGAGATGGGGTTAGAGAGAAGATTATGGTTAGGAGAGGAGGAGGATGAGGGAAGGGGCAAGGGGGAGGGTGAGGAATAAGGCAAGGGGGTAAGGGAAGGGGCAAGGAGGAGGGTGAGGAAAGGGGCAAGATGGAGGGTGAGGGAAGAGAGACGACAAGGTGGGGGTGAGGAAAGAGGCAGGGGGAGGGTGAGGAAGGCAAGGGGGAGGGTGAGGGAAAGAGAAAGGGGGGGGTGAGGAGAGACAAGGTGGGGTGAGAAGGGGGCAAGGGGGAGGGTGAGGAAGGGGCAAGGGGAGGGTAGAGGAAGGGCAAGGGAGGGCCGAGGAAAGGGCAAGAGGGGGGTGAGGAAAGGGCAAGAGGGGGGAGGGTGAGAAGGGGCAGGGGAGGGTGAGGAAGGGGCAAAGGGAGGGCGAGGAAAGGGCAAGACGGGGGGTGAGGAAAGGGGCAAGGAGGGTGAGGAAGGGGGGAGGGGAGGAAAGGGCAAGGGAGGGGGAGGAAAGGCAAGAGGGGGGTGAGGAAAGAGGCAAGGAGGAGGGTGAGGAAGGGGCAAGGGGGAGGGTGAGGAAAGGGGCAAGGGAGGGCAAGGGAAAGGGCAAGAGGGGGGTGAAGGAAAGGGACCAAGAAGGAAGTTGAGGAAAGGGGCAAGGGGAGGGGGAGGAAGGGGCAAGGAGGGCGAGGAAAGGGGGCAAGAAGGGAGGGTGAGGAAAGGGCACAAGGGGGAGGTGAGGAAGGGGGGGCAGGGGAGGGGAGGAAAGGGGCAAGGGAGGGGAAAGAAAAGGGGCAAGGGAGGGCAAGAAAAGGGGCAAGAAACGAGGGGGGGTAAGGAAGAGCAAAGGAGGAGGGTGAGGAAGGCGCAAAGGGGGAGGTGAGGAAAGGGGCAAGGGGGAGGGTGAGGAAAGGGGCAAGGGGGATGGTGAGGAAAGAGACAAGGTGGGGGTGAGGAAAGGGGCAAGGGGTGTGGGGTTAGGGTCATGCATACGTTACTGTACATGAAAGGTTTTTTTGTTGCAGAAACGATGAGCATCCCCTATACAAAGCAAAGCTAGTAAGAGCTGATGGGAGCAGATTGAATATTAACGAAGCAAAGTATGACTTCAATATAATAGTAGCTGCATAAATCTGCTATAAAGCATCATTTTAATTGATTTTAATATTGCGTGGTAATCAGAATCCCGAGAACAAAAGTGTAATCAGTGGCTAAAGTCACAAACAAAAGAACATGGAATGTGTTGGATTAATATGGAAGCAATGAAAGTTGCTTCTGCATGTGAATGATAACGAATTTACATGATTTGGCGTCATTACGCTGTTTTAGAGAAACTAATAGTATTTCCTCATTCATAGAGTGGACTTCCACCTGTTGGATGACGAAGATTCAGGAAAACTGGTACTTGACATTGCAGTGTACAGGTTAGTTGCCACACCTAACCCATAATGTGTAATAAAAAAGCTTTTGAGGCAAACATCTTGGTATGGTTGTGAATAGTTTAGTTTCTGTATAGTTATAATAATGAGCAGATTGCAAGAAGAAGATTTTGTTTTAACTTTCTGGCTTTCATGTGACGTTATGTAGGTACATGGACACATCTCTGTTGGACATTGACGTGAACCCAACATACTGCAAAGTTCTCATTAAGGGTATGGTCCTCCAGCTGGTCCTTCCAGAAGAAATCCTGCCAGATTCAAGCTCTGCACTAAGGTCCCAGACAACAGGTCATCTGGTCATATCAATGGTCAAGGTAAGAAGTTGGGGATACAGTTATTGTTCGTGTATTTAAACATCTGCTATATATTATACAGGTTAATGTGGGGATGGTATGTGTTTGGAATTGAAATATGTACATGTGGTCTATTTCAGTTTTATGCAATAATCGAGAAATTTATGTTTCAAGGCAAGAGGCAGAACAATTAAACCTAAGTGTCAGCACAGACCAATGGAAAAACCAGCCACACAAACACAGGGCTCACAAAGGTGTGTTATATGTCGGTGTTGTGCCTATAGGCTATAGTCTTTTACTCTTTACCACCCATCACAATCAAACACCAGTATCACTTAAGTGTCTCGAATTAATCCCAGGTTATGTTATAGTTATAGGTAGAAGTAACATATAATCGTGAATAAATTTAGGGTTTATGTAATGTGTGTATCGTTTTATTTGCATTAGATTCACTAAGAAATGCTACAGAAATAGCATTAGAAATTAAGCAGATCCACCATTGCCACATAAGTTATTAATTTTTACGAATATCTTTTAGTCCAATCAACAGAAGCAGAGGCTACGTCGAGAGACTTGAGGTTGATGAGCAGCGCCACCTTCAGGTCGATTACAAAAACATCGTCACATCCAAGACACCAAATCTGCTGCCACTTGGTTCGCGATCGACGACAACGTCACGTGACCCTCCCCCCTGCAGTAAGGATTTCACTGACAACCCTGAAGTTCCGCCTTTGATATAGCCTGCGTGGAGCTTTTGACATGAAGCTAAGTTATTGGCATTTATTATATTATCAGGAGTATTTATTTATATGAAAGTGTTCATAAATAATAGTACGCAGTAAAATTTACTCCCATACTCAACTAATCATTTGTAGCTGGTAAAAAAGTTATTATTAATTTATAACTCCAATAAAGGACCAATTAGCAAATGAAAAGCTGCGTAATGATCAATGATACAGAATATGTTTTAGGTGACCTGTTACATGGTTTGTGTAGTCGGTAATATACAGAGTGATGAATATGTAACGAGGTGCATGAAATATTTTTGGGTAATCTCTTACAGTGTTTATATAGGTTCTGTATATAGTAACGCATTTAATAAAAACTCGGAGTGTCTGATTTTTGAAAACTGGGTTTTCTTTGTTTGCTGTTTCTTGATGTAATTACCTCCGCCAAGGGGTTGGCAGGAGGTTATGTTTTCACTGGCGTGTGTTTGTTGGTTTGTGGGTTTGTTTGTTTGTGTACAGCCTAACTGAAAAAGTTATGGACGGATTGTCATAAAATTTTCAGGATAGGTCAGAAATAGGCCAACTTAGAATTGATGAGATTTTGGTGGTGATCCGGATCCAATTAATTAATTAATTAATAACATTTTCAGGATACGTCAGAAATCGGGTAATTTAGAATTGATTACATTTTTGTCGTCATCCGGATCCAATTAATTATTTAATTAATTAATTAATTAATTAAATATTTCACAGTGACAGAATTCAGCTGCCTTGGTGGAGGTCTGTGCTCTCTGAGTGCTCTAGTTGGCTATGTTATCCTTGGCAATTCTAGCATAGTGTTATTATAGTCTAGGCTTATGCCGCGTGTGTGCGCAGGGGCGGATTCAGACCGTATTTGCCGTATTGGGAAATACGGTCTAAATTTCAAAGTGCCCTTCGAAATTTTGCGCTAAAAAATACAGAAAACAATTTGATGAAATTTGGCTATATTCTTTATTTGTTTTCTTTTTCTTCTGATTCATTGACAGGACTTGAAGGAAATCAAAATTTGACATGGTAACAAAACTAGCATTTGATATCTGAAAGAGAAGGGAAGTGCTTGAATCATTCTGCATTAATTGCTGGTATGCAAAGCGCAGGCAAAATGAAGCAGAAATAAAATTCCATATGGTTTGGGGGAGGCCTGGGGGAGGTCCCCCAGACCCCCGCCATGTGGTTCCGCGCCTGACGGCGCCCACTTTAGGGTGGTGTGCCCTTTTTGGGGGATGTGCCCCTAAAATCTGGAAAAATACTGTCTAGCTTCAGCCCTGGATCCGCCCCTGGTGCATATCTATCTCTGCTCTTTCTACTAACTCGTGAGCTACTATGCTTATATAGGCAGCATTTCCCTTTCCACGATTACATACCAATCGCACGACATCATACCATTTCCTACAACTCGGTAAAAACCTAAACAAATCTAATCTAAGAACCAAAAAACCACCGCAGAAGTGAAAGAAGGTATCACATCGCGTAGCAGCACTTTGCGCTCAATCCCTTGCGCCGCGTATACCCCCCTCATGTTTGCTTACGTACCGAAGAGCCTGGCTTTGATAAGTAAGCAACATTCAATTAGGGGCATTAGCTGGCAAGTATAGGCTGCTTATCCCGTCCGCCGATGGTGGGTGGGGGGAGTTGGGAGCTGGAATTCCCGCGCGCTAACAATGCACGAAGCGAGCGCGAATCGGAGGAAGACACTGTAGATTGGGTTCGTATTACACAGCGTCGTATGCTGAAGTAGCTATTGTATCCCAGGGATCGTCTTGTGCGTCCGTAACATGGATAAACTCTCAGGATATCGGTGGATACAGGTGTTCAACGACTCGTTGTATACGACCGTGTTTTCCCTATGCGTGTAATCTTTCGTAAAATCGATGTGTTATGCAAAGTATTGGGATCGTAGGTAGTTGTTTATTCTGTTATAGTCGGTAATAGCATAGTGATAAAATAACATGTGAGAAAATAATAGATAATAGAATTTCTACTGTGAACTCTTGATATTATTGAACGTGTGCTCAATAAATTGACTACATTAAGCTTGGGATACAATGCTTAGTGTTGTATATTGTTCTTTTATGTGCGAATTACGCGGTGACTACGATGTATTTGATATTTTATGAATTCTTGAGAACGTATTGTCAATTATGTCATGAACAGCCTTGTGGGAACTACTTAAATTTTTAAATAAACAAACATTTCGATTCAAAACACAATTCCACTTCACAAGTCACAGCGCAGGCAAACTACACGCGATAAGCATCCTTTGAGAACGCCTTAGTTCGTCTGCTACACGCTCACGTAAAGTAGACTCACTAACAGATGGAGTTACACTGAATCTCTCCGTAATTGGCTATTACTTCCGTGAATAGCAGACGATACGGTTCTAAATCGGATGCGAATAAATCGACCGAGATTCGACCAGTGCGAGCGTTTAGCACACCGTTCTTAACGAAATCACGAAACATTTAAACTAAAAAGGCCGACCGGCGTGAAATTTGCGTGCGTATGCGTACACGTTTTTATCTGCGTTGTGGTCTATTCACGGCCTGATATAAAAATTAGTGGAACATTTAAATAAGCTTTAAAACACACGGAATGAATCGCAAAAAAATGGCATGACCGCCTTGAATAACGCGTTGAATAATACCCACAATACGTTGCTCGCCGTTTTTGCGTTTATCTTTTCCGTTTATTAATTCCGTTATACTGACGCTAGACGGGATTTACGAATTAACATGTACGATAGCGGCCCTACGGCCCCTATTTAGCCCTCTTCATCCTGGGGGCGTTTACTCGTGTATTACATAAACATTGTACGAGGTATGTTTAACCGAATGGTTACATCAACGCTCTGTATTTTCGTAGCTAACTTGAGCAATCATGGCCTGAGGGTCATCACTGACCGCCGTCCGCCTCTGCGGTCCTTGCCGCTAGCGGTCTGCCCGCAGAATCAACAGATGTTATGAGGAATCGCTCCGTTCGAGGCCGCTGCTACTTCGCTTCTATATTACGCAGCTTCACCGATGCTTTCTTTTGGTTTCTCTCTCCTTCCTCATCTCTAGCTGCCCCTCGCCATCCATCCCCTATAGTATCCGCTATCCAGCCATCCATCCAGCCATCCCATGTATACTAGCGGCAGTAGCTGATTTCCCACTGCCGTCGTTCGAATCGCGCTATTTTCGCGTGTCAAATCACCGAGCGTGACGACAGATAAACCTTCCCGATCATCAGTTAGTGTGCGCGTGCGTGCGTGCGTGCGTGCGTGGGTGCATGCGTGCGTGTGTGTATGCGAGCGTGTGTGTATGCGAGCGGCCCGGTGTGCATGCGTGCGTGTATGTGTGTGTGTGTGTGTGTGTGCGTGTGTGCGTGTGCGTGTGCATGTGTGTGTGTGTGTGCGTGCGTGTGCGTGTGCGTGCATGTGTGTGTGCGTGCGTGTGTGCATACGTGTGTGCATGCGTGCGTGTGCGTGTGCGCGTGTGTGGTGTGCGTGCGTGTGCGTGTCCGTGCATGTGTGTGTGTGCGTGCATGTGTGTGTGTGTGCGTGTGCGTGTGTGTGTGTGCGTGTGCGTGTGCTTGCGTGCGTACAATGCGTGCGTGCGTGTGTGCATACGTGCGTGCGTGCGTGCTTGGGGGAGCATGCAGCCATGTGACAACACTCGGATAGCGCGCTCCGCTGGCCGCGCTCGGGGCTTCATAGCTGCTGAGCGGTAGCGATGCCGCGGTCGTCTGCTTCTATCGCCTGCCGAACTATCGTCTGCGTGGAAAAACGAGATCGTGTCGCACCGACGTTCCGTCATTAACGACGTAGCTTGAACGCGGGGCGGGAGGCTAGTGCAGCGAACCTACCCGTTGTTTCATATCAGGAATCAGTTCTCAGTCGAATCGGCATTATAGCGTCTGTCCGCGGATACCGAGAGAATATGCTGATGTCATACACGAGTCTGCTTATCAGTGTAGAAATTTAGAGCTAAGTGTTTTTTTTTACACCAGAGAAGGGTATACCTTTCAGTGACCAGTGTGAGTCGGACAGCGTATACCTTTCAGTGACCAGTGTGAGGCGTTATACGTCGGACAAGGGTACACCTGTCAGTGGCCACACTCTATAGTGAAGTGATATACGCTGCAGTGAATCACGCGTTAGGTCCGATCCGTGGTCCGATCGTCATGGATGAGTTATGCTCCAGATTCCGATGGATATTTGTCTTCGCGGCCTTGTGCGCTTACATTCAGCCAGAGATTAGGTGAGGTATTAATAATTATATATATTTATATATACGCTAATATTGAGCGCATGCGTGATATAATTAAAAATATTGTTTTATTTGATAATTCACACGGTTCGGTTTCCACGGAATAATGGCATCATCGCATTTTTGTTTATCTTATCAAGTTATATTTATTCCTGCACATACAACTTAATTTCGCCGTGACAGATTTTTATTTCGTATACCTTTTCCTCTTATATATTACATCTTTGAGTACTTTTAAAGAAGATTACCGCAGTTTCGTGACGGTTGTTTCATTTCATCCTCAACAGCTTTCACTCGTTGCGCGCAGGTGTTAGGGTTACAAGGATATTTAATGCGGTCGGTCGTTTCCAAGTTATTTATCTTTTCCACCGCATTTATGTTTTGTCATTCCTTACCTCCTTACATCCCAATGTTTCCTCGTCTATATTCCTTTCTAAGTCTTAGATATTCATCGCACTGCATTTGTTTCCCGGTTTGGCTCGTGATATAAACAGCTGTTGTTGGTTTGTGTGCCATTGCTGAGAAAGGCTGTTTTCTGTTGGCGATTGAACTACTGATCGTTTAGTCCGCAATAACTAAACTACTGTAGCATCAACATGTTCTATAAGCGGCCTATGATATCCAGGTTCTGTTCCTGTTTATCACTCGCTATTAGAAAGAGTACAATTCTTAATGCATCATAAAGGGATATAGTAGGTATATACATACTTGATATGGACAGGTTCGTGTTATCCCCCCCACACACACACACGCGCACACACACGCAGGCACACACACACACACACACACACACACACACACACACACACACACACACACACACACACACACACACACACACACACACACACACACACACACACACACACACACACACACACACGCATGCCTACTTCAGCCCATAATCGTTATGTTGTTTCCCGAGATAATTACTGATATTGGAAGAATTACAGCATTCCTATATTAGGCACCACTACACAACTCTCGGCAAACTTACAAAACATATCCCGCAATTATAGCGATAGCGTCGCATGCATCTAAAACGTACATCCAGAAATCTATCGCCGTCTTACCATCCACGCATGCA